AAAAGGGAGTAAATTAAGGAGGGTTATGTTCCTTTTATGGTGTGTGTGTCGGGGTGGGGAGTTGCCAACCTGTGGTGCTGCACAAGTCTCCAGGTATGAGCTGCTGCTTGGAGGGCAGGGCCAGCCCTGCTGGCCTCCTGGTTGAGCTTGAGGACCACCACTGCTGCCCCATCTGTTAACTTGTAACGGGGACGTGGGCATGGCACGACTGTGCTGCTGGTGTGACCACAACAGGAACAGTGTTCCTGGGTAGTGTAGAAAAAGTACAGCATGTTTAACTACTCAAGAAGTTAAGATTAACAAATATCTGCATCACAGTTCAAGCAGAGCTGATGATAAACATGTTAATCTCAGTGTCTAAAGACCCCCTGGTTTTGATGCTACATTTTCTTCTGGTCAAGACATCTTACAGTTCCTGATTAATATTCCTCTGCTAAGTAGTTGGAGAATTCACCCACCTATGCCCTTAGTTTAGGAAAAAAAAAATAAACCAAAACCAACACAAAACAAAAAACAACCCAAAAAACAGCTCAGGGAAGATTTTAATCTTAAAATAAAGCTGTGAGTATGCACCTGTTTACACACCTTTTGGGGAAGGGGTGCCTGGCTTTTAGCTGGGTCTAACTGTAGAATGTTATTGCTACACATTGGTAGGATTAGCACTATTACTGAAATGGTATATGCATTCTAATCTTGCAGGTGTTATCTTATTTGATAAGCAAATAATAATACTCTGAGAACTGCTACACTGACCAAGACCAAACAAAAAATGTACGTGGGTGAGGAGTCTGTAACAACAACTCAGTTCAGTAAGGCTGCGACAACCAAGAGATCCGGCTGCAGTGGAGCCACCCCTTTTGCTAACAGCTGATTAAACTGGTAAGGTTTATTACTGCCATCTACTGTACAAATGCTTCAAGCCAGAGGGGAATAAAAACTATCTCTTGGTTCTCAAATAAATGAAATTAGTTATGAAAAGGGAGAGAGAAAGCAGAGCTTGATTTCTCTCTACATCTAACATTCCCTTTATTTGTAGTCTTTTCAAAATCAGCAATAATCTGGGTTTTTTTAAATCTTTCCCATACTGAGAGTAGAAGCATCAGGTGTGATCAAGGGAATCATTATCCGTTTACTCTCTGCATTTTCCATCAAAATCAGTTTCACCTATATCTATGTATACAAACATAGATAATATTTTTTAATTGCTTCTTTCCTGTTCTTCTTCATTTTATCTAGCACAAATACAAATTACAGTTCTTTTTGCCAATTTTAGCTTTTGTCTGTTAATTTTAGATTCAACATGTTTAGATCTAGAAGTCTTAACAAAAGCTACAGTCTTTAATTATTGGAATCCCGTTGGAATAATTGGAACCCACTGGATAAATGGAACACTTCATTGTTTCGCAATAAATCCAAACAAAGGAGTTCCCTCGCACTGCTACTTCCTACATTTTTAAAAGACCCTTCCTACAAACTCAACCTGCAAGCTTCAGTTTGCATGTGTGGCAGTTATAAATGGTATTTAATAGGATGAAAGGGCAGAGTTGGGCTCATGATTTCAGAACTGGCCAGCCCTTTATCAGGGGAATACTAATTGGCATCATTTGTTTCCTGTTATTCAAGCCTTAGATGTTGTTTGTTAAGAACATTACCAATATTTTCAATTGCAATGGAAATGTTAAATTAAGGGACATGTCACTGTAGAATTTTGCCACATCAGTGAGCTAGAAAAGCAGATGAGATCATCACAAAAATACTGAGATCAAAGTTGAGACCTACAAGAAAGAGCAGCCATAACAACATCTGTTAAACATTGATGAGACATCAGGATCCGCACAAGCACTTGCAGAAATGGAGGAGGACTGACAGAAATTATGAAGTTGTTTTCGAAATGCCTGTAGATTTCTTCTTTTTAGAGTCATATTTTAGGAAAACTGGATGAAGCCTTGTGATTTGCAGATACCTGATGTTTCCACATACTGCTGACCACCAGCAGCAGGATGAGCACATTACACCTTTTCACGGTGGGCTACACCACTGCAGAACAGTATAAAAGCTACTGCCCACCTTGCTGTTGTTCCCCAGCGCACACAGTAAGTGTGCTTTATGAAAAAGCCAGTGAACGCAGTAGTGTACAACTACAAGAGGAAGGTGGCAAGGAAGATAGATAAGCACTTTGTTTTAAGGTCTCGTGTTACTGAGCCTTTGGTGTTTGTCTTACTCAAGGGCTATAAAGCTTTAAAGGGTTCTTGATGGTGAGACTCTAAAGCTGGCTGGCATTGAGGTGAGTGAGCACAGCCCTGCTTTGCTGAGAGGCCCATTGTGTTACACCATTCTTTATCATCCGAATAGGGCATATCTCTGCACACAGGCTTTTCAAATCTGGTAAGTACAACTTGGCAAGGAGGCAGAGCAGAGGAGAAGTCAGCTGGTTTAGTGCTAAACCATGTGGAGTTTTTCCACCATGCCAGAGGGGTCTCCAGATGGACTTTTCTGGCTGTGTTACATAAGAAAGATGGATTACAGCTGGGAGTCCGTGCCTATACTTCTAACTGACTGATGGATGAGAAGAAAAACGTTGTTTTTTTTTTTGTTGTTGTATTTAGAATTGGATTAGCCTAGTGCTTGCTGTCCTCATTTTCTATTGCTATCAGTGACAGCAGAAAATTCTCAAAACCTTGTAAGCCTGATAACTCCAAGTTAAGAAGAACAGCAGCTTAGGGAAAGATACAACAGATAACAGCAAGCCATCCTGTGCTACTGTATTTAATACAAAGCTCTTCATTAAGGCAATCAGAGAAAAATAGCAGGATCAATTTCTGGCTTAGGCCCATTCAAAAGCATGATGCCCAAGAGCGTTCCTACTGAGCAGGTTAAGGTAAGAATGCGGAGAATCCTGCTGCAAAACGCTTCTAGAGGCAGTTTAACACACTGAAAATGAGTTACGAGAAAGTAAATACAGTATCTTGTACCAGTTCAGTATGAAGTTGTGCTGTGATAAGCAATGGAGTTTTATTGAGAAAATACTAATGAGAAATAAATGCCTGCAGTGGAGAAGTGTAGCATCTGGTCTGCATTTGACTTCATGCATGAAAGGTATTTGGCCTGACTTCCTGCCAAATCCTGCAAGTTTTGAGATCATCAGACACGAAGGAGATTAAACTCCCCAGGTTGGCATCCCAGAATTTTCCCCTAGCAGAGCATATGCGGAGTTCTAAAAGGACAAACTTCCTACTTTTGCTTACAAGTATGGTTCATTTTTTTGTTCTTTTTTTTTTTTTTTTTTTTTTTAAGCTGTTGTATTCTCTGTCAATAACTGTGACATGGAGTGGCCATTAGTAAAGGTTGTTAGCTGTTGTTCAAGAATCCTTCAACAAGTATACATCAGGTTTTAAGTCACTGTCTACCCCAGAAAATTCCAAGAAAGAAATGGAAAACCGCTGCACAATCCATCAAACTGGACACTGTGGGATTTCTGCACAAGGAGCTTTCTCCCTTGCTAAGTAATGGTAGATCCTGGTCAATCTACTTGTGATTTGCAGGATTCAAAATCCTTAGAACAATCCAGTCTGAGGCATTCCCTTGATAGGATGGGCTGAACAGGTAAAAGGAAGGCTACTATGAACATTTCTCAACTGTTCTGCTGCTTTTGATATCGCCTCTAGAATTTAATACTCGTCTTGGACATGACATGCTTAGTTCATATGAACTAGTCCCTCCCTGTCCTCCACTCTTGCAGTTAGACTACTGGACTACGTAGTCTGAAATACAAAAGAGCAATGAGAGTGTTAAAAAGAGACTGAAATGAACTGTTAATGAGGGCTTTTTTAAACCTTCTTTGGACCTAACATCATCTGCTCCAGCATCATTGTAATTAGTAATTTTACAGCAATGCTATCTAGGAAGGGGATGACTGAGTCCATCCATACTAATGAAGTATTTTGACGCTCCACTTAGACATGTGGACTAAAAATTCTGCTGACAGCAGAAGGTTTTGGATTTGCCTTTGCATTAGGCCCATACAGTCTCTTTAATTGTCATAAAGGGCTGATGTGAGGATCACAAATCTGCAGACTCATCTGCTTGGCAAAGCTCACAAGTGTCCTGGTTATTGGATGTATCCTTGGATGAGCTATTAAAAGTTTATTGGAAACAAAATATGTGGAAGGTTTTGAGATAGTTTAAAGCGTCAGTTGGAAGGCATTGTCATCTCTGTAGTCTCTGTCTAAAGAGAGCAACTACATGGAAAAATTATTTCTGTGAGCAAATGCTTGCTGTGCTATTGGCACTGCTCAAGGCTGAAACTTGACCCAAACCAGCATTGGAAAAGTCAGCGTTTGTAAGTAATTCTTCACTAATCTAGATCAGATATGCTTATCTTGCAGTTAAAAGGTTTTATCTGGCTTGCTCTGCTTTAGTTCTGCCAGGCATACGTTTAGCAGCAGGCGTGTTTCATTTGATCCTGCAGTCACTTGCTGCGGAGCACGGAGTTGAGACCAGAAATTACGTCGTGCCTTGAAATATCCTTCATCTTCTCTCCATCCTTTTCGTACACAGCGGTGCAAGGGAAGTGTTGGTTAAAACCGGCTCGTTCGGTCAGAGCCGCGTTGGTGCTGGCAGGGGTGGCAAACTCTGCCCCCTCGGGAGAAAGGGTAAAGCGGTGCCGGGCTCTCCGTGGGCTCCGGTTACCCGGCAGAGAGGAAGTGCTTTAAAATCTTTGAGGGTTATGGATTTGGGAAGGAGTCACAGGGATTTGACTCGTGTTGCCAAACACTGCTGGTGGTTACATCACCCGCCGTTCCCGCTCCCCGCGGGCGCGCAGCCGTGAGGCGGGGGCTCGATGCGCTCGGAGCTCGGGCCGAGCGAGCGCTCGGGAGCGGCTGGAGCCGCCTGGCGGGCGGGGCGGCGGCGGCGGCGGCGGCGGCGGCGGCGGCGGCCATGCAGGGCCTGGCGCGGGCCCTGCGGGGGGGCGGCGGGGCCGGGGCGCGGCGCTGGGGTTGGGGGGTGGCGCTGGGGCTGGCGCTGGGGGTGAAGGTGCCGGCGGGCAGCGAGGCTGACGGCGGGCAGGGGGCGGACCCGCTGCCGCCCCCTCGGGGCTTCGGCGCGGCCATCGAGAGGAGTCGGGACCTGCTGCGGCGGGTTAAGGTGCGGGGCCGAAGGGGAGCCGGGGGGGTCTCCCGTCGCTGGCTGTCGCGGGAGCTGCCTCACGGAATAGTTCGTTATTTTTGTTCTCAGTGAGGTGTCCGCGAAGGCTGTTGGCGCTTGGGCCGGGCAGGGCTCCGTGCGGGGCCGGCGCGGGGGGGCCGGGAGGCCGGAGAGGCGAGAGGCGAGGGGCTCGTTCGCGCAGCGCCCCGGGGTTACTGGGGAGACCTCCGTGGGGTTACTGGGGAGACTTCCGTGGGGCTCCTGTGAGATTCCGCTTGCTAATAAGTGATGCGGCTTGCCTGTTAAGTATTAACTCTGTCATGTTTTGTTTCTGTTCAGTTATCCTTGCGTGTTCTGACCGCTAATTTAGTTAAAACACTGGATAAAATAGTTTTTTTAAATTATTATTCTTGTTAGAGATATTTTCCCCAGTTGTTGGATTAAAATGTCTGCTTTTCCAAAATTCTGCCCAGCTAGTATTTAACAAAATTCCCACTGTAATATGACAACAATATGCAGGTGTGTTTGTAGGATTGTTCTTGCATTTTTAGGGTGTGGGAGAAAGGTGGTTTTTAACTGTAAAGATTCTTCTTAATGTCTTCTGTCCGTTCTTTTGACAGGATGAAGCAGGAATCCCAGGTATACTGGTTGGAGTTTCTGTAGATGGAAAGGAGGTTTGGTCAGAAGGTTAGTATATGGCAGTGGTAGTTGTGCACACTGTCGGGAAGCGATGAATATTTTAAAAATTAAAAATTCAGACACACTAATCAGGCTGGGATTTCATCCACTTGATGTCCCATCTCCAGACAGTGGCCAGAAACAGGTCCCTAGAGAATATGAAGTAATACTTTCCATGGTAAACTTCAGTAATTTCCAGGAATTGATAATTTATTAATTTTCTGAATGTGCTAGTATATCTCAACAGTTATGTTTAAGAACCTTCCATTAATTTAGTTAGTCTTTGAATATACTTATACTGTAAGCATACAGCCGTATGGGGGTCTGGTAGAATTGTGTACAGTAGGTAAAGAACTGTTCTCCCCACAGGAACTTACTTAATACTCAGAGTATTAATGGCTCACATTTGGTGATCTGTTTCCCATTTGTGGGCTGAGGTGTAGATTTTTACTGGGAGTGTACTGAGATTTAACAGGTGTCATCCTTCCAGAAATTGCGAGTGATTTTTCTGGTTACACAGTTTATTTTTAAATAGAGTCTGTTAGTACTGCTCATATCATGTAGACATTTGATGTTCATTTAAAAAACCCAGCAAGCTGTGTGTCTGTTTTCAGAAACATTTTCATAACGTGTTTTGGGTTTTTTGGATAACTATTAGAGTACAGTTTTATATAGACAGACGTGCATTGATTTCAGACTTTGCTTGTACTAAACACTGCAAATGTGTCATTACTGTATTTCATTGCTTTTTATGCTGCAACATCCCTTGCACAGTTTCTTCAAACCTGGCTCAAACTGAAGGCTAATATGGGAGCTTGATAATGCCTTAGTAATTCCAGTTCTTGCTAACAGGTTTTTGGGTTGGTTACATAGGAAAACACTGGTATGGAGATTATTAAGTTGTCTTTTAATTGAAGTCATGCTGGGTGAAGTTGAAACATGGTGTATTACACCACTGTTTTGTGAAGCTTTGCAGCTTGGGTAACTGCTGTGTGTTTGTGTGTAATTTCCTTTCCCAGTTTCTATATTGATAAAATAAGACCCTTCACTGATTCAACCATTAACTCAGAACAATAAAAGGAGTATTTATGACTGTTGGTCAGTTATTTTACAGTCTAGATTTTGGTCTCTTTAGTTTTTCTACATTGAATATTTGACCTCAAGAGTGTAAACTTTGTCTTAGTCTTCAATCTCATTTATCTTTAGGTTTGTTTTGTAGTCTTAATCAGTAATTTGGGATGACATTGGCCAATACAATGAGCTTTGATTAAGTGTTCCTACTACATTAAGGTGCTATTAACTGAAGCAGGAGCAGGGATAGCTCAATGCTTCATGTCCCACTTTAGCTAGAGGAAAAACATTTTAAGGAACCAGTAAATCTAATTAATTGCAAATAATTAATTCAGCATGACTCTACACAAAATATTTACCACAGTGTTGTTATTTTCTTAAAGGTTTGGGTTATGCTGATGTGGAGAATCGTGTAGTATGTAAGCCAGAGACGATCATGCGAATTGCTAGTATTAGCAAGTGTCTTACAATGATGGCTGTTGCAAAACTGTGGGAAGAGGGGAAACTGGATTTAGATGCTCCAGTGCAGAAATATGTCCCTGAATTTCCAGAAAAAGTCTACGAGGGTGAAAAGGTATGTAATTCTTTACTGGTAACATTTTTTTAGTTTTTTTGTTCCTGTCATTGCATAGCCATATGTGTAACAGGTGCCTTTATCTGCACCTGTGCCTGTAAACCACCAGATATCATTTAGACAAGTATTGATGTTTGCTGCTCAAAAAAGCAAGGCTGGAAATTTGGAATTTCATTTTTATATCAAGTGTGTAGTGTGTGTATATATATATGTATAAATTTTAGCTGAGTTTAGTACATGATATTTAAAAGGTCTTATATCTTTGTCTGGTCCTCGTCCCGTTGAATTTTGCTTTTCTCATGATTCAGTGTGCATCATATCTTTAACGAAGAGACCTCACATTTAAATGTTCTCCTTTCTACCCAGGTCGCTATTACTACAAGACTGTTGGTTTCACATCTGAGTGGGATTCGTCACTATGAAAAAGATATCACAAAAGTAAAGGAAGAAAAGGAAAAGGCAAACAGAGCATTTAAACTAACAAAACCCTATCAGGATAAAGAACAAAAAGAAAAAGAAGGCAAAGGGATTGAAAAGACTGATTCTGTCAAACTGAGGAAAGAGCACGAAGGTGAAGTAAAAAGCCGAAATTCCAAACCTGGCAGAAGAGACAAGGAATTTGAGCAAGAAGAGTATTATTTGAAGGAAAAATTTGAAAGCGTGATTGAATCACTGAAGATATTTAAAAATGATCCTTTATTCTTTAAACCAGGTGAGCTTCTATTCATTTAGACCAAGATGTGCTCTTCTGGTGAAAATTTTGTTTCAGAGTGTTTTACATGCAGTGAGGACAGAGTCCAGTAAAGAGTGTTTGTGTGGGATTCTTGTTTTGTTCTGCTTCCTCCCTCCTTTTTTTTCTTCTTGTGCCCCATTAAAAGCTCAACGGAGGAGTATTTGGGCTGTTCTGCACAAACCATCTGGTCATGTAATTATCTTAAAACTGACATAACTTCTGAAGACTGAACTGATCAGGATTTTATCGGTTCAATTTTAGATAAGTCTTGTACAGATATCTTTACCAATCTGCTGATTTAAAGAATTATGCTTATATAGATACCTTCTAATGGTATATCTGCACCATAATCCAGCAGGTTCAAAATGTGGTGTAGCCAAGACTTAAAAGGTAATACAAAGAGTTGCAGATAATGCAGGCGAGAAGAGAAGATGGGACCTTAGGTAGAATAAGACTTTTCTCCCAGGACCTCCATGTAATGCAGTGAGTGCTATAACATGTACCAGTTACTGAATTAATAGATGCTAAAGCAGATTATAATTTTGGTAACAAATTTGTATCTACAACGTATTTTGTAAGCGGATACCAACTTGCTGTGTTCATGCTCTGGACCTTCTAGATGTGAACCAAAGCAAAAAACTGTAGTGAGGCACTAAACTGGAGTTAAGAATTCTACAGAATCACAGAATTTTTGAGGTTATTTATTGTTGGAATTATTTAAATTAATTCTAGAGAGGGCTTTGAGGAACTTCAGGTGTAAGTTTTAAGTGAGTTAACAGGCAAATGATCTGCACTGCTAACAAAACCAGTAAATAATGTCCGTTTAAAGAGAGAAGGGTAGGAAGGGGGAGAAGTTAACCACTTGCCAACTTGGAGAGTTCTAGGAACCATTTCAAGCAAGAGATCTGTCTCGACTATAGGCAGTTCAGCAGTTGTTTGATATGTAGATGTTTCACAAAAAGCATTAGGGCAAGAATGAGATTTAAAAAAAAACCCGAAATATTGTTTTGTAAATAAATTATATTGTCTTAAATAATATGCATGTTAGTGATCATATAATCTTTCAGGATATTCTAGAACTAGAAAATTAGAATTAGAAACAGTATGACAAAAGTGATTAAGACCTTTGAAAACACAGAGTGAGTACTATCCTTGTCTTTCTGTCTCCAGGTTATAGACAATCAAGTCACAGTAAGTGAGTGCCTTTTGAGAAGTAATTTTATGGTTTGTTTCAGTTTTCCAAATCCTGACATCCCGGTTAGAACTGGTACAGTAAATCTTGTGGCAAGGTTGTTAAATGCCAGTCTTCACATCTTGACGTAAAACCTGGCTGTACGTGCAGATCCCTCAAAATTTTTTAGTGCTGTTCTCAGAGCTACCTGCACTTAGCAAGCATCTGTGTCTGCTGCAGTGCAGAAATTCCTCAGGCCCAGTGTCATACGCTTGTCATTCACATCATATTAAAATGTGGCTGGAGGAGGGGGAAAGTGTTAACTGATTATTCATTGCTATATATAGTTTTATTTGCACATGTGATACCTTAAATTTTATCCTTCAGGTTCTTTTTAAGCATCATGTGACTAACTTTTTTTTTCCCCCCTTTCTCATTGTTTTTCTTCAAGGTAGTCAGTTCTTGTATTCAACATACGGCTTTACTCTCTTAAGTGCTGTTGTGGAGAGAGTCTCAGGACAGAAATTTACAGATTATATGCTAAAAATGTTTCATGATTTGGATATGCTGTCAACTGTGCTAGACGACAATGAAGCAATGATATATAACAGAGCAAGGTAAACAAGGATAAAACCTTTATTCCCACAACGATTGCTCTTTAAGCCAACTGAATTAAAAATGTGTGGTTTTTATTTTTTTTCCAGGCTTTTAAATGAAGTGTTTTATGTTATTTCGAAGTTAGTCATATAACTGATTTTATGTCAGCATTATGGTATTGGTTCTGTAATTAGCATGTAAAATTACAGAATAGGAAATAAGTATTTCCTGTTATAAGACTGTATGGGGGGGGAATGAGAGGGGTGACTTTGAATTTTGCATTTATTTGGGGTACAAATAAACAAGTAAGTGTAGAGTGAAATAAAGGAGTAACTAGGAGATTATATTAGAATATATAGTTACATTGGCTTACTTAATACACTGACATTTTGAGAGTTCTGAGGAATTGTAGTAGTCTCATGGTAACACAAGGTTTCCATAAACTAAATTTTAATAGCAATTTTAAACAGAATTTTAATCCTTGTTAACACAGAACATACTTTATCAATAGATTTATTTTTATTAACTTAAAAAAAAAAAAAACTCCAACCAAAAAGCACCTAAAAACCCCCACCGACCAGACACATTTATGTAACTGTATAGTCCATTCTAATATAGTGGATAAGGGTAGAGTTTCTGGTCTTTCTCTTCAGTATTATTTTATTTCCTTACCTGTCCGAGCTCTGAAATTGATTTATTGACTCACCTGTTAAATTTTGTTGCAGGAGAAGAACTCTCACTGAATCACAAAAGCAGGTTATGGAAAAAGTCTCATGAAAATGAGACTTGAACTTTTGAAAAGTTTGGCTTCTAAAACGCTCTCAAAGAATGAAAATGGTGATGAACGTGTTGAATCTAAGGTTTATAGTACTTACATATAAGTGTATATTTAAAGTGTGTGTGTGTACGTACACACACACAGAGCCATTTGTAATGTTTGAGGGATAGTTTTACTGCTGTATTCTAAGATGCTTTGTGCTGGTATTTATTTTGTTTGCAAATTTTCAGAGGCTGTTCTGTAGATCTGAATGCTGGTGATGTTCTTATAAATTATCAAGCTTGTATAGTCAAGCTCTTTTAAATATACTTGTGTATACTAACCCTTTTATAAACTGAAATGTGATAGGGATGAAAGAATTGGGACAGATGCTGTTTTGGGGGTCTTTTTATGGGCTGCTAATTGTTATGCAAAACTGAGACGCTAATGTGACGATTTTCCTTCCACAAATAGCTAGATTGGTGCCTCAAACTAGAATATATTGACATGCTGTGTTTTGTTTAATGGTTGGGTTATGCCATATTTTACTGACATGAAAATGTTTAAAAATTCATGTTCTAGATCCTTTAGAGGTGTAAGTCAAGCATTTCAACGTCTTTGTAACAGGTTTTATTGTGACCAAAAACTTGACTATAGGGACACAGAGATAATCAAGTCGCCGGCAGAGTTGATGGTAGTCTTGGACCATTCATGTCTCTTCCTTTGCTTCAACCTCTGATTTTTAGTATTATGGCTTTCAGGAGTTCCCTAAAAGGTTTCCAGTATAAGTGCAGATAGGGAATGTCTCTCTGGACTGTTTGATAGTAGGCTTGCCCTGCCTCTCCTCCCCCCACCCCCCCCCCTTTTTTTTTGTGGTTCCTTTTCACGACTCTCCAAGTAGTACATGGGTCTCTTGTGGTCCAAAAGCCAAAGGTTGAAATTCATCAGATTATATAGTAGTTACTCGACTTTCCTTTTCATATGTTGTATGAAATGATTGAACTGTTTGTTTCAAAAGCATAATTCAGTCTACACTCGTGTTGTTCGTCATAGTTTTTTCTGCAATTCTGGCTGGTATTTTCTCATTTGTTTTTTAATGACAGGTTTTGCAAGGCTCTTTCATGCTTCTCACCTTTCTTAGCAGTTCCAGAATACTCAGCTGTAGTATATGGCAACTGTAATGAGGCAGTGGAGGGAAATAAATCATAAATGGGAACTACTGTCTCAAAGCAGGCACTTAGGTTTTCAGTGAAATTTCAGCTCAGTGTCTGATAATTGTGGGGTAGCTGTAGGATTCCTCTTTCTTAAAACACCTTAAATCTAGTTACAGGGATTTATGGAAAATCCTGTGCTGGCTGATCTCTAGATTTCTGTCACACCTCTATTATGTATATTGCCATTACTCTTAGTATATCCTAGGAATAAGTAGACGCATTAGTACTTTTACTGAAACTAAGCTCCTAACCTAAGAAGTCACCTTAATTTTTGTTCTCCTGTCTGAATTTCTTGTTGATTTTTCTGCAAGAAATATATTTAACAAAAATATATTTTAAAAAATTATAAAGTTTCGTGAGAACAACCTAATGCATGCTCAGTTTTGCTCTTTTTTTTATGGTAGGGGAGCTTAAAATAGTGGTACATAGCATCTGAGAATGACAAGTTGAATTTTCTTGAATTCTAGGTGTTACGTTTACAACAAAAAGGGACGGCTGGTAAACGCACCGTATGTGGACAACTCTTACAAGTGGGCTGGTGGTGGCTTTCTGTCGTCCGTAGGTGATCTTCTGAAATTTGGCAATGCCTTGTTGTACAGTTATCAAGCTGGACAGTTTAAAAACACTAATGGCAAACTTCTTCCTGGGTACCTCAAACCAGACACAGTCGCAATGATGTGGACCCCAGTGCCAAAAACGGAAGTATCATGGGACAGGGATGGTAAATATGCAATGGCTTGGGCTGTAGTAGAGAAAAAACAACAATGTGGCTGTTGCAGACAGCAGAGACACTACGCATCTCATACAGGTGGTGCAGTGGGGGCAAGTAGTGTCCTCCTAATTCTTCCAGAAGAGCTGGACTCTGAAGCTGTAGCTACTGGGCTCGTGGCACCACCTAGAGGAGTAATTGTTAGTATTATCTGTAATATGCAATCAGTTTCACTCAACAGCACTGCCTTAAAGATTGCAAGGGAATTTGATAAAGAAAAATGGGCACAATATATAGATTAAAAAAAAAGAGGTACGTGTAACTGAACTCACTGTACTGAAACATGAAAAACAAATGGAGAAGGGTATAATTGGACCCAAGATCACTAAGAATATGTGAAGAAAAATCATCAAAAATTCACTTAACTAACTTCCGCTAGTGGTGCTAAACTTACGTGTGGAATTTCATCTCTCAGGGACGTTCCTAACTTCCAGAAAAGGAGAATGTAACAGTCAATTTTGACTTCGTGTAGTACCTGTGTAAATTATCATTATATTAGCAGGTTTTTTTTCTCATCTAGTCAAGCACTTGACCAAGATTAAAAAAACAAGCATTGGTTTCTTGCACTAAGTACAACAGAAAATTATCTACCTTAAACACTGAACTTTTGAAAAATTTCACATCTTGATTTGAGCACACGAAGATGTAATTTGTTATTCTCACAGTTCCTGTCTGCCAAAACTGTTTAATATTCCTTTTTAAATAATGGGTTTACTGTTGATTTTTATATTTTTACATAGCGCTTTTCTTTTTTGCTTAAAAAGAAAAAAAACCCTACAAGCTCCAAATCTTGAAGCTACCTCCACAATGCAGATTTGTACCAGAAGTAGTATGCTTTTGTCAGAGCTGTGGATTGTTAAGAATTAGAAACTGATGAAGCTAGAGTAATGTAAGTAAAAATCTTTTTGTTATTTAATGTCCTCTCTTCCATTTTTATTGGACACAGAGAATGTCTGAAACTAGTTTACTGTGAAATATAAGGGTGTTATTTCCACAGTTGAATATACCTGAATAGCACAACATGGTGAGCTGTTAAACTGTCTTGTTTTTGAATGATACACATGCTAACTTTTGTAGCCAGAAATGGCACTGTATTCTGTAGTGTAGGTGTTCCTTTAGCTGTAGGAATTGGGAACTCAAATAACTCCAAAAAATTTAGAGCCCAATCTTGAAGCCAGTAGTAGAAGTCTGTCAGACTTTGAGAGTTTTTTTTGGAAACCATACTTTTTTCCGTTTGGAGGCCTGCCTCGAGGAGTTTCTTTTGGACAAGGCTGAACAAGAGATTGTGATAGAGTTCAAAGAAGCATTTTCTGATCTTCAGTTTTATTATAGGAATACAATAACATCTGAGTGTGTTGATTATGTAATGGCATGGAAGATCTCCAAGACTTGCCTCCCACCCCACTCCCCCTGCAGTTACATCAGACAGTATTTCCAGGCTGAGACAAAACAAAATAGCTGTCAGGAAAGGTTGGAATAGTTGCATCCCTGCACTGTTTAGTAAGCTCTGCTTCTCTGAATTTAAGGAGCAAGATGTCTTAGATAACAGCTAGCAGAAGACAGCCTTACCCACTTCTTTTCCAAGTTAGTGCTTTCGGCATTAACTTCATAGCTGTTACCTACCCTGTGATGAAACAACATGCTGTCATCTCTGTTTCCAGTATGCCTATGATAACATTTATTACCTAAGACTGAAAAACCAGGAAATTTAGTATTTTAAGGTGTTGGTGTTTTACATACTTTTTTTAATTGAAACTAGTAGGACTGGCTTATTACTCTTCAAAATTACAATCATTCTTGTGCCTTAAAACAGTAAAAGCTTACACCTAAACTATTTGCTTGGGTTTTCTGGCCCACTCATCAAAACATCACTTTTCAAATTCATGAATAATGGTTTGTCTTTATCTCAAGAATATCAGATCACTAGAGGGAACCTTTCTGAACAAACTTTCATTTGGTCAGGCAGTAAATTATCTACTCTTCCACTGAAGTCTGATATTGTTTGACAGTTCCAGTACAGAAGTACTGGAGGTGAGCATCTTCTACAGTAGCAACTTTTTTTTTTTTTCTCCAGTCCTGAGCACCTACTAGCTAGGTAAACATGCAGCAGCAGAAATGATTGCCTGTTTTACACAGTTAACAAGAGTAAGTAGTTCTGAGTTGTTTTCATGTTGAAGAAGACATGAATAGAAATAGACATATTACAATGTTTTAAACAGACAATCTGAGAAGTAACTTATTTTAGGATTTATAACACTTTTCTTGTATGATGCATCTGTTTTGCAAATGGTATTGTACTTGAAAAACCATTTTGCATACTTGAGAGAAAACAAGTTTCACTCACTGACCACTGTGTTTGGATTTAGACAAAGATTCAGAATGTCGAAGGCATACATTGACCATTATGCTTGTCTGCATATGACTAAGCACTAATAAATGTAAATATTTGAAGTATGTATGAAAGTGAGTAATGGTAAGAAGTGTCTAAGGCATTTTGAACACCAAGATATTAATAACAGTGTCTCACTCCCCTCATAGAATATGTTTAGCCACCAACTGTTTATATGCATACTATGTTCTTTATCTCCCGTTAACTTAAGGCCTTTAAAAAAACCTCTATTGTCACACGTACAGTATTGGAAATGCTATGACATCTAAATTTCATTTTCCAGTACCTGGAACAAAATGGGCCACTGACCTTCTCTGATTTGCTATTTACTTAATCCTGAGTTGTTATCTTTTAAGTTAGAGAAGGCAAGAGATACAGGAGACTAGGAATCAATCTGGCCTTAGCACATGTATTCAGGTCACAAGTGAATGAGTATTGCTACTTTGGTCTTTGTTCTGAAGCCAGTTATTTGACGGACTGGTATTAGGTGTGGAAAAAGGTCAATTCAGAGCAGCTTTCATGATAAACCTGCTATTAAAATTTTTAATTAACCTTCATTGTGGAAACACAGTATGGCACTGACATAAAACTGTACTTTTCTTAAAAGGCATGTATACTAAAGTGGTACATCTATTTCTGTATCAAACACATACTTTTTGCATCTGGTAATCATCGTAAGTGTTTACTCTTTGAATTAACTGAAATAAAACTTACCTTGCAAATGCAATGAATTGTAATATCAGGGTTTGGGGTTTTTTTTTATTGACTAGAAATGTACAAGTTTAGAAGTCATAAAAAGAATACAGGTTAAATAGAAATTCCCAACAATAATTAGCTCACCGAGACACCTGATACTTGGAAAGAGATGTTGATACATAATGTGAGATATTTAGTAAAATAAGATACAGGTTTCTCATGGGTTAAAAAAACAAAAACAAAAAAAAACACTTTTCAACAGCCATTTATAAAAGGATGGCTTTTAAAAACTAAAAACCTGTTTCCTCATTGCAAAAAGGTAATTATTTAATGTTAGTATTTAGTAGTGAAACTATGCATGGCTTTGCTGCTTTTTTTTTTTTGACTGGATACCATTCACAGCTGTTAGTGTAGTTTGCTGACTTACTGTTGCTTATACACCATATGCCTTCTCTATACCAAATGCTCTCAGTGTTTTGCAAAAGACTTTTTTTTTTTTTTTTGGTATATATAGAAATGTCAGTATAGAATACCAAATGCAGTTTTGAAACCAGATTAGAGGGAGGGAAAACCCATGCATTCCAGAAAAACAGCTGAACGTGAGTAACTTAATATTTTTATTTATCGCCATGTTACTCAACATGGTAAAGGGACTAAAGCAGTGTTGAAAGCAAATGAGTAATTTTAAATCTCTCTAGCCTTTGCAGCCCTTGGCAGTTAGGGCAACTGCAGTAATACGGTACACAAAATGCATTCTTACAGCAGTTTCTGTCACTGTATGCATTACACTGCTGTAGGTGATGACTAACGAGGGGAAGGATGCAGCAAGACCAAGGTTTTTATATTAAATAACACCACCCAATTAACAATACACTGTTTAAAAGTAAAATAATAAAAATAGAGCTAGGTTGTCTGCAAACTTGCAGGAAAAACTTGCACTTCAGATTATTTATTGAAAAAGAGATTCCAGCTCGCTAGTCAGCAGTAGCATGTAATTTTTACAAAATCAGTCATAATTACATTATTATATTAACAGGCATTTTTAAACTGGTAAGGCTTTCAGGAACAGAGATACAAAGCCACATGCTGAAGTGTTCAGTGTTGCTTTCTTCTAAATGAACAGCCTGTAAAAAAATTATATGAGTATAAATAGTCTTTAAATTGTTAACCTGCCTTGGAAAATTGCCCACCCAACTTAACTAGGAAAATTCATGCAATAAATTTGAATTTCAAGTACAAGAGGTGAACGTTTAGCACTTTGACTCTTCTCCAACTCAACCAGAACAACATGGCTGTCATATAATTTATCTTAAAATAAGGCTAAAGTTTAGTTTCTACCAGGTGCCTTTAAAAGCTTCAGCCTACTGCTCCATCCCTTAGTGTTACAAACCCCAAACTGGGACAGCTGCGAGGAGTGTTAACACCTTTTCAGCTTCTCAGCAGCCTTACTTCACTTATTCTGTCCTCATATAAACTACATCCATATAGTTGCACGTGGTATAGGCACTACTGTATGTGATTTGCATATATATTTACCTTTTGTCCTTTAAACAAAACATAAATAAAATCTGGATTCTTTTTTTTTCTAAAACCCTGAAGTGCTTCCAACGTTTTTCGCAGATCCAAGAGTGAGCTGCATTTAAAGATACTGGTGCTATGCCAGTTATTTGTTTCCTTATAACTGATACAAACCAGATTTTGATTAAATAACATGAGTCAGGGAACTGCCTGTTCCCTGACTGTACTGCTGTTTAAAAACAAACAGCCACCCCTGACTAGCAGTGGCACAGAACTGCTTTAACCTGGCAAAAGTACCCTTGTGCTTTAACACTCTAAACTGAACTCAGAATTAAACAGGCAGTGTTTATTACGGATAGGCTAAAGGAAGTGTTGCCAAAGCATCTAAAATCAAGCGTGCTTGATCACAATGTAGCTGCTTAGCTGCCTGGCATATCCGTATAGCCATTTATAAACAAGACTATGAAGAAAAATTTGCAATTCAGGGCCTATTAACAATATTTTTACAAGCCAACTCTAAGCGATTTTATGTAAGTGGAATATTTAGGCTGCTAAACATTGCCCCTTACCTTCTGTGAGTCTGGCTTTCCCCCCAGTAGGCTGACACAGAACAGTGGAGCACCCTACACACAGAACTACTGTCTGAGCATGGCTGAATACAGTGGTGATCTTGTAGCATCCTGGAAAACAGCATTATAAAACTTTGCATTGAGTATTTCCAGCATTATTTTTTTATTGTATGTGTAATTGAATCAGATACTCTAAATGCACTTGTCCAAAAATGGATCTATTATTTCATTACACATCATATGAAGTAAAGCAAAGCAAAACATTTTGTAGTCCAAAGTACTTGCTTTTACTAATGTGCATATAAAAGCAAGTTGCTTAACTGAAACTGTTCTGACTCCCTGTATGAAAACAAACACAGCCTGATGGCTGACAAGCCCTAATTTGCCTGTAGTATGTCTCCTGCAAAAAAGTCGAGGAGTTCTACACTAGCCTCTGCTGAACAGAAGAACCCACCTAGCTAGAGAAATACTTAACTTATAATAGTAGAACATTGCTGTTGACAAAGCCTGGCAGCTGTGAATATAAACACTGCTGTTCAAATCCGTGTTTGTTTTCTGTGTAATAATTGATACACATAAGGCATGTGCTTGCATTCCACAAAGCTAGCATCATATTTAAACTAAGACTTGCACAGAGTAACTTAACTGATTCCAGATGCAAGATGGAATCAGCAACACTTTGATTTCATTCTTTCTTCAGTCACAGAATGTAGGATTTGTAGACATTTTCATACATGGCTTAGACAAAGGGATTTGCACTGCTTCAATTATTTTCCCTGAAAAGTATTTTTAATTAGCCAAGAGGTGTTTTTGAGGAGAAAAAAACTTGTAAAGGATTTAATCTAGATGCAGATACAGAAATTAGTCAAAAAGACAAAGGTGAGTATAGATTCCATTTTCAGCATGTGTGGACCAGAAAGATAAGGTAGAATATATGTTGTGAGGAAGGTCTTCAGAAAACTCCCTGACAAGGTAACTGTTTCACAGAAAGAATTTCTATTAGACAGAATAAAAACTTTCTGCTTGGTTTAAATCACAGATAGTACGTGCGCAAATCTCATTTTGCAAAAAAACCTGCTAGCAGCTATAATTTAACCATAGCAAATGTTGTTTTCCCCCCATGAATGTGAACTTCCGTGTTGATGAGTTCTTAACCTTGTAGATTTTGCAGAGAAATGAGCCCAATCCATTTCAGTAACCAGGTAGCAACTTCCAGCACCACGGAATGATGCATAAGGCTGGCTGAGATTTTCAGTGCCTTGTGCTTAGGACTCTGTAATTACTGAAGCTCTCCTGCTTTGCTCTATATATCACTCAACTCATTAACCAAATAATCCAACAATAACGAAGATAACCAGTGACCTATGGACTTACGGTGACATTAACTGTATCTTAGTATATGCATGCATCTACACTGGTTTGAAGAAAGTTTAAAAAAAATCAGTCAGTGGCTTAGCCTTCAGCCATGTGTATTTTAAAAGTAACCACACTTTTACTGTCAAATAGTTTTAATGAATTTACCTCACTTTTAGATGGAGAACAATGTCTCAGCTTCTTAGAAATGTAAGCTACTAAGAAAGAATAAGATAGTAAGAAAACGTGAATACAGCAACAATTCCCTGCTTCTAGTCAGGAACTACCGTAAGTAAGTCTATGCATTTTCTTGCTGCTATAATCTTGCACTGCAGGAGTTCCTAGGAGATAAGTTACTGCACTTGACAGTTTCCGTGCCTCGATATGGATGTAGCTGTGCAGATCAAAGAGACCGATCACTGGTCGAGCATACTCCTGTAATTTCGCAAGAAATTCCCATGGTTTAGTTTATAAAAGATAAGTTGTTTATACAGATGTTTCTGAGCCAAAGTAATGAAAACCTGTAAAACTGGACACAGGCAACACCTTAAATATAACCCCTGTATATGTGGACTAGGTGTCAGTTTACTTCTTAACAGCAACATCTGGCAGAGGCAGTTGTGTATGTTTTGTGTAAAGTCCCAGTAGCATATACCCTTGTTAAGTTTTTCTGGTGGCTCTTCCAGAATCAACCCACTTAGAAAAAGAGGAAAACCGTGTTGGGTTCTATTTGAAACTTGTGCCATGGATGCTTTAAAGCATCCATTTCATCTCACTTCTTACACATGCAAATCTGGTGGGTTGTTTTTTTCCCTACTTGCCAGAGTTTCATAAAGGGGAAAAAAAAATAACAAGAAAACCTGTCACGCCGGACCTCTAGAAAATAAAGTAAAAAGCTGATTGTTTAAATTAACTTTTGAAAAAGGTTGAAAACGTGTTATTGTTAAAAAACTCAAAGCTATATACAGACTTTTTGTCTGTACCAAACCGATAAGCCACGTTTAGATTAAAAACAAAAATTAAAAATCATACCTTTTATGAAGATGAACCGCATACAAAATCAGTTTTGTTCCTTCTGTAAACTATGAACATTTAAGCATTTTAAATGTTTACCTGGACATTTTACATCCATGAAGTAGGAGTTCGGGCTCTGCACAAGCCGTTTCTTTTTGTGCTTTCTCTTCTCATCCTCCAAGGAGGGGTGCACCAGGTCCTTCGCCAGCTGGCGGGGATGAGAGGAAGGGCGCGCTGCGCGTTACAGGCCGCCCGGCCGGCCGGGCCTTCGCCCGCCGCGGGGGTCCCGCACCCCCCGCCCGGGACCCACGGACACGGACGGGCGCGCCCGCTCCGCGCCGCAGGACCGCGATGCCCCCCGCGGGGGTGTGGCACACGCGCGCGCACGCACGCCCCCCCCAACCCCAACCCCGCTGCCCCGCGGGGGGCCCGGCCCCCCCCCGGTAAACAACTCACCGGCATGGCCGCCGCCGGCCCCGCGCGCTTCCAGCCGACTCGCGTCTGTGGCGTGGGGCGGGGGGGGGGGGCGGGAGTTTCGCCCTCGGGGCGGGACGGTGTCCGCGGTGCGTCCCGAAATGCCGTCCTGTCACTTCCCCGCGCGTAACTTGACTCGCTTACCTGTAATCGATCGGGAACTGAGCGCAGCGAGTAGGTGCGCGCCCGAGGAACCCCCCCGCCCGCTCTTTCCGCGGCGGCGGCGGCCCGCGCCCCCCCAAAACGGCACTGGCCGGGAAAAGCAGCGGGAGACCTTTTGCAGTGGCCTGAGTGTTTATGGTAGGCCAGTACCACAGTGCTCCCTCTCGCGGGCATTCAAAACCTGACTAAGCACCGGGAAAAGAGTCTTTTAACATGATTGCTGTTCTCTTTTCAAAAACTCTGCTCATTTTTCCCTCTAACAGGTTAATACACACATGACACAGTTATTTTCAGGTAATAAAGGGAATCCAGAAGTCCGATCCACTTCCATATTAGGTGCTGACTAGATTGTTGCTCATACGTTGTTTCATACTAAACAGCACATTACGTGAAGTTGCACCTATGTGCACATTCTTTTGCAGTTTCCCACCCCAGTCAAAAAGGAAAATGCAGAAGAATGTCTGTTAGTTACCATTTATATGTTTAAAACCGATTCAGAGAACCTATGCCAAATAGAATTATTGCAGATATTGGAGATGAAAAAAACATCTTTCATCACTTTTTTAGTAAGAGGTCGAGTGGGTTTTTTTCCATAAATCAATAAAAATAATCACAAATATAATCTGTAAAGACTCAGGTTTAATATAATCAAACACAGAACATTTAAAAGTGTAATTCCCTAGAAATCCAGTAAGTGGCACAAATACACCTTATGAAAATTGCCGAGTAGGAAGAATCTTCCAAAACAATCAACTGTACAGCATGTTGACCCACATCCTTTTTGAAGAGAGAACTGATGCATTTAGCAAAAATTATTTGACAAGTTTGCCATGAGCACAAGTGAAGGTATTTTATAGAAGCATATCTTTCTGTCAACAATATTCTCAAAGCTGGCATGGCCTCTCCAGTGCTGACACTGCACACAACTTTCAAAATACTTCCAGCCCCAAACCCTACATTAGCCTGCAAGAAGAGACCCGTGTGTTATAGTACTCTGAGCCATTATATTAGTTTTCTTCTCACCACTGTGACCACTGTCTTGTAACATTGTAATGCCGTGTTAGCATTTTTTCCTTATGCACTGGAGTGGTGACCCACAGACAGAGGTATTTTGGAAGTATTTGTTGTTGTATCATGAGGAATTTAATATGAAAAGCTCTGACTCATACTTTCCTCTGCATGCTGCCCTGTGAAGCTAGGAACATAAACCAGTTACCAGCACAGGGTCAGTTCTTGAGTCTTAGCTGTTCCTACTACCTTTCAGTCTTTTTCAAATGTATGTTATTTATCTGCGAGCAGAAGGGAAAGGAAAATCTATGAAGCCTGTTGATTCAGCATCTGAAGGAGAAGTACGTTTTTCTTTGTTTAAGACCTACACAATGTATAAAACGCCACCAAGAAAAAAACCAGAACTTCTGAAGTGCTGCCCTCCCTCACCTCTTCCTCCCAGCTTTCCCTTCTGAAATGCCTTTCCTGCAAGGAGCCTTTGGTGCTTGCGGAAGAATTTAGAGTCACCATTTACATTAAAAATTTGTTTCTGTGAAAGGAGGGGCACACAGGATGATCTGAAAACAGGATGTGTTTTGGACACATTCCTCTGGTTCTCTATTTTGGTTTTACTTGGAGATTCATTTCCTTTTCACAACTGCTTGTAGTTCAGTGACCTGCTGAATGAGTCAATTCTAATGCATTCTCTTAAATCTTACGATTGAAGCCTTTTTTGAAGTATACTCTTTAGAAAGCAGAAATGCAGCACTGAGTTTAAGTTGCGAGTTAACGAAGAGAGAAATACAGTCTGTACCACTGTGGCACGGCCTACAGAGACAGACAGATTCAGGTCTGAGAGAAGGACTTCCCCTTTCCAGCCTTCTCCCAGCCAAACAAAGACTTTGACCTCATTTTAGAGAAAAGAACGAGAAACACTATCTGTCTGGTAGAATTTCCAGAAGCTGATCTGGAGATGTTTAAAAACAGCATAGTGACAGTTGGGGCTTTTTCCTGCATTGCGAGTGGCAGTATCCTGCTGTGTAAAAGCTGAGTCTGTGTCTCTGACAACATGCATTGTGGTGGTCTCCTTGCTGGGCTGGTACCTCTGCGAGGAGGGAGGGAGCTGCAGAGCGCCCGCTGACACCCAGCACTACTCTGTTCTGCTCCATCTGTGGCCTTCTGCAGCTGAGTTTGCGTGGGTCCTTACAATTTGCTATCTGATGTAGCAAGAATACAGGCTTTTGGGGGGGTTTACTACAAAACCTCTTTTAAACTGACTGTGGTCACTGAGGAAGTAAGTATGGATGGATTTTTAAAAAAATCACTCTAATAATGCTTACGGTGGTTAGTCTGGAATACTAAAATGTGTATGGGTGTCTCTTAGATTAAGACCATTTAGATTTCCATACACTAACCAGCTCTAACATTCACTCAAAGTAAGGTTCACTTCAAGTGACATGTCTGATGTGGAACATGGTCTGAGTATAGTTTTGCCTGTACTGCAGAATGAAGTATTTATAATCTTAATGGATTATAAATTAATGGTGTAAACCATGGCATGTAGTCATTTGGTATAAATATGCTTAAACTGAGATAGTTTAGATTAGCACTGGAACTTGAAGAAGGTCCACTTCTAGCACAACCGTGGTAGCAAACCTTGAAATTAATGGAATTTACAGATAAGAGACTTGTAGGGCTTTTCCTTTCTGCAATAGAACTATACAGACTTTAAGTAACTTTTTTTCCAATAATGACTTGATTTAACTTCTTCTGTATGAAGTTCTGCAGCATATACGTATGAAAAATATACACATTTAGATCACTAGAGTGAAAGAGACCACTGTTGTTTGTAAAGACCAAAAAGTTAAACCTAGGCATTGATCTTTTTAAAGCTAGAACTTAAAAGCAGGACACATCAACATATCAAATGCAGTAAGACAAAAGCATAGAATGAGCATAGAAGTGTCTACCTGCAGTGAAAGACATATTTACTGGAACTGGGGAATAAGTGACATTTTTTAAAAGGAGTGTCACATGATGGTCATCAAGCAGTGATAAATTGTAGAGGCATCTGCCAAAACTGGAGTTGTTAAAGATATACATCAAAAATATTATCATATTAGCTAGCAGAGTCCAAAAGCTAAGGAGCAAAGCTCATGTTAATGATTTGCGGTTAGGTGGCATTTGGGGCAAGGCAGCCTCATAAGATTACCTTTTATAGGACTTGGACCTGTGGATTCCAATTAGTGCCAAAATAACAGGATCCTGGTTCTACCAACATGTTTTAAACTGTATGGTTTCTTCGAAACCTTATACTTAAAACAATTAAGATATAGAATTTTCTACAATTTTGTATGCAATGAACAGAAGGGCTTGATTAAAGACAGATTTTCACAGAGTTCTCTTTTTACGTAACCAGTCTCACCTTTAAACTGAGGGGAAAAAAGGATTTTTGAAAACTAGAAGTAATGTTGTCTATCATTTTGGGAAGTAAAAATGAGAGTGGGAATGAAGTTGCAATGTAATCTGCTTTTTTCTCTCAAATGTAGGTGTTGGTAAACTAGACACAAGTATTTTTTTGGTTTTGAATGTGTATGTAAAGATTGTTCACTTTACTGCGTATGAATAGAGGGAGTAATTGCATTTTGCTATTCACGTTAGTGCCCTTCTGAAGTTGAGTGCTTTAACAGATGCACTTTACAGGCACCTCAGTGACTCATGGAATTCTGCCGTATCTTGGTTGGGACTCAACATCTGTCTATCGGATGAGCTTCAACTGTGGTATTCAGGCAAAACTGTTAGGGCAGTCATTTATGGGTTGTAAAGAGTTTTCAAATTCCGCTTTTTTGATATATACAAATCAGCATCACCCTGTAGCAGTGCTATATGCTTTTATATAGGGACAAGAGGTAAACCCTGGTATCAAATACTTTCTATTTCCTACCTGTTCAGTGTTCCCCTCAGTGGTTCTCCCATTTCAGAAAGGAATTAAACATTTAATTGTAGTTGATCTATTTGACTGTAATGAAATATAAAACAAATGTTGCCTTTTCCAATTTAGTGCAATAACAATGACTGGGCTTCAAAGTATTTTCATGGAACAGGTGTCACAGTGGCTTGGTTATTGCGCCTTAACAGCTTTGATAGTACTCCTCAAAGTTTTACTAACATATTGCCAGGTACACAATTGTACAATTACAGGTTTTCCATATTCTAGAAAATCAGAAAATATAACTCTTAATTTTTATATCTTGTTTTTAAAGTTCATGGTTAAGTAAACATCTGTCCCTTGAATCTGGCAAACTGGCACTTTTCCAATTCAGAACAGAACGCAATATTGCAAAGCACCAGTGTAATTAAAGAGGGAAGTAATTTGCATTATTTTTCTATAAAACTACTCTTGAGTAACAGATGGCAATCGCAAACATACTGCTCCAGAGACATATGGAACCCTATTTGTTCCATAAAACTCAAGAGTGAATATTAACCCCAAAATTACTCTCTTCAATGCTGAAATGCGATTGTGTAGCAGTCTTCAGTAAGGCTGTAATAGCAGTACATGGCAACTCATGTCTCTGAAAATACAGACACAGGGAAATGTTTCAGAGATTAGTTTTTAATTTGCAGTTTCCTATAATCTGATTACTCATGATAGTCTGAAATAATTAACCAATTTGGTTTGACTGCTTCAGTGCCACGTTGCCATAATCATTTATAAACTTAAATCTTGCAATAAGTATTATAACAATCCATCTGAACATCTAAACAGCCCAACTGCTAATTATACAGTACAAAAATGAACCAAGCAGCCGTGTTTCCAAATTCCACCCTCAACTGAGCAGAGGTCTCCAAGTGTTCAAAAAAAAAAAAAAATTAACCTGCAATTCCCCCCATCCTTGTTTTGCTGCCTTGGTTTTCCTCTATCAGATGATATCCTGGTCTCCCAGAGATCTCAGTCAAACAAACAATGACATTTTTGCTTGAATGACAACACAAATCTATGATAAAAAAATAGATTTTGGTATAATTAACTGGAAGTTAGATTAGCATTTGTGACAAGCTCTTACTGAATTCACTTCGTACAGAGATTTACATACGATCTATCACTGGATTTTTGATTATTTGTTATCAGAAACATCTAATAGGCAGGAACACTACCAAACTGAGACCCTTAACCAGGAAGATTTGGAATAATTGATAAATAGGAGCAGAAAAGCTTT